CTTTTGGTAGGCATCAGCTTAACTCTTCTATGATCAGTGAGTTGTGTAGGTACTATCTTCAGAAATAGGGCCTTATCATCAGTTGGCAGAAAATAACCCATAAACTTGGAGATAGTCTAGTTTTTTTGGAGGTTTCTTTAAGACCTCTTATGGGAATGACTTGATTAGATGTAATGTATTTCCATAACTGGAGGCTTTAGTGTACAATGAAATGTCCAAGTAGGGCTCTGACTTCTCCTTTATTTGGTAATTCCATTTAGATACAGATACAGATACAGATACAGATAGAGAGATATAGAGATATTTTAGAATATATAGACTATATTATGAATATTTTATACTCATGTAGTTTACTGTATTAGGTTTCAATAAAACCCACCAATGCCCTTTAGTTTGCTCTGTTCTTCTTGTATGCCTTCCCTAACTCCTCTCCTCACTTCTTCTTATGTGATTCTCTCCTCAAGTATGCATCCATTCATAACTATCATTTTATTTACCCCTTTCTAGTCCCTCCCCTAGTTTCTTACCCTATAACTAACCCCTGTGGTTATGTGCATTGTTGTCTGCTTATCAAAGAATTAACGACTAATTTCCATATATAGGCAAATATCTACCAAATTTAGTTTTTCAAAGTCATTGTGACACATTTTTAAGCTGTTCCCTTAGAAACCAGTAATATTTTATGAGTTATCTCATTCAGAATGACTTTTTCCATATCCATCTACTTATCTTAAAATTTCATTTTTAACAGCTGTGCAATATTTTATTGCACAAATGTACTACATTTTCTTTATCCATTCATCTGTTGAGGGCGACCAGTTTGTTTCCTATTTCTGCCTGTTATGGAGTTTCAGACTTAATCTGTTTTTTTGTTTGATTTTCTTCGTTTTGGGGAGTGAGGTCAAAAGTACCTCAGGGAACTGGGAAGTTGGTATGATCACTGTGAGTGATGTGAAATTCCCAAATAAATCAGTAAAAATATTATGTTGGAAAAAATAAATAAATAGAGCACCAGTGAACATGACTGATCTATTTCCTCTATGGTAGAATAAAGCACCATATGAGTGTATGCACCAGATTAATATAGATATATTTGTTTCCAGGTTCTGAGGAACCATAACACTACAATGATTTCCTAGGAGCTGTATAAGTTTGCATTATCACCAGAAAAGAATGAGTGTTCCCTTTACTGCATATACTCCCTAGAATGTGATGTCATTTATTTTATTGATCTAGGTATTCCTGACTGTTGAAAATAAAGTCACAAAATAGTTTTGATTTTTCTTTTCTCTGATGACTAAGGATGTTGAACATTTTTATAAGTATTTTCATCCATTAACATTTCCTCTTTTGAGAGCTCATCCTGATATGTATAGTTTCATTGATAGGCAATTTCAAAGATAAGATTTTGGCATAAAACGGAGAGTTTTCTTCATTTTGTTTGGTTTGAATATTTTTGAACTTATTTGGTATAAGGCTTATGGCTTATTTCTAGCTGGAGAAAATCAGTCATTATGTTCACTTTATTAGGAGATTGCGATAGGTATTTTAATACATCTTGATTGTTAGGGTCCTAGCTGTAACAGAAGAACTGTCATTGGTGAAGTAAAGGGACTATTCAGGAAATGGTTGCACTCCTCACTGGTTACTTTCCCTTGCCTTCTCCTCTATTTGTTTCACAAAGCAAGCTGTCAATCACATTTTATCTAATCCTTAGCGGTATCTTCTCTACTTACTGCATCATCAAGAACAATACAAAAGGATTTCTCTCAGGAGAATAATTTTAAGTCAGAATAGAGTTCAATTACTTTCCTATACTCTTAGAGCAGTGATTGGTCTAGTTTTCCTTTTTTTGTCTTGTGGAAAAAAAGTTTTGAACAGAAAAAAATTGGAGGATGAAAAGTTTTATTTCAGCTTATGGTTTAAAATTCCTACCATTTAGGGATATTAGACAGAAATCCAAGCAGAAATTCAAAACAAACCAAAACAAAACAAAAAAAACAAAAAAAGGAAAACACATTTGCTGGCTTGATCACAGGTTTCTTATACATTCTAAACTTGCTTACTTATACATCCTAAAATGAACTGCCCAAGGAATCATGTGACCCACAATGGACAGGGCACTTTATGTTTAGTTTATAATCAAAATATTCCCTCTGTCTACAAGCAAATATGACAATCACTCAGCTGAGATTCCCCTCACAGATGATTCTAGTCTGTAACAAGTTGATAGTTAAAGGTAACTAGGACAATGATCAATGACTGTATTGTATTTGAATGATTTAGACGAGGTACGTATCTGTCGTGCACTGTTCTATCTTATCCTACTTTATAAAATATACGTTTTTATTCTTATTCACACAGAATGCTTGAAATATGAAAGTAAACTAGACTAGTTATACATGAAGAATAAATGTTTCCTATTGACTTTAATTATGTTATTGCTTTGAATATATTTGAAATTTTATATAATACGTCTTAATTTGTATCTTCATAAATCTTTTTCATGTCTTATCACAAACAAGGACAGAATTTTAGTATTTTTAGTTTTTTATTTAGTGATATGAGATTTTATCCTGCAATGCTATATTTTCTGATATTCCTATATCTATGTAGATTTAAAGGCTATATTTTAAAACAAAGATTTGTGATGGCCATCATAGATGATATATTTTGTTGCTATAAATTAATAATCAAACTTCTAGAATACTGAAATTATTTATTATCTAATGCCATAATAATTTATTTTCCTGCTGAAACCTCAATTATGATAGACATGATTGTAAAATTCTTTTAGAATTATATTTAATGAATCATTAAATTCACAAACAATTAAGCTTTTACTTAATGCTTGTTATAAACATGGGCAGATGTTAAATTATCAACTATGTACTATTGAGTCATTAAATTACTAATGGATGATGAAACATTATAGTGTGCGATGCTTAGAAGCTAACGGTATTAAGTAGAAAATAGTATGTTTTGTGGAATAAAAATTTAGTTTCCCAAAAACCTTAGAGCTTACATGCTAAATTTTACATAGAACTATCTTTTATTCTACTTTTCTTTTATTGTGATATATATTTTTCATTCATTGTATCCAGCTTATGAGTTCCCTTCTTCAAATTACTCTGACATTCTCCCATCTTTCCTACCCAAATCAACATTCTTTTCATGTGCTTGAAAGAAAACAAGTATGAATTTAATGATGAATAATGAAAATTATCTACACATGGTTAATGAAAATAAAGTTGAAAAGTAAAGTTTTTAATCTTCAGATAGGTTTTTATGAAATAATTATAATGCTTTTCAAATTCAGATTCTTGTGCTATTTGTTCAATTAGCAAATGTCCAATGTAAATATTCTTGAATATCACCCCTCCTCTCATGGAAAAAAAAGCTGACAGTTTTGAATAAGTCTGAGCTGTTTGGAGTCAGGTTTGAGAAGATCTCTCAGCCACAGTGATATAGACCATTCTGATCATCTCTTGTCACCTTATTCCTGTTAAGTGGCTTAGATTATGATAATAATAGCTCTCTTGCCAAGCCATCCTGTATAACACAGGAACAGGCAGAGTTTTCATACTATGAGCATAATAAAAGCTAAGCCTCGTCTGCAGGCTTCTTGAGGATTGGCAGCATCTGCTTTCCTGGTGTAGCATCTCATACCCATGCAAATGAGCCCTGACTCAGAACACGCTGTAATATTCCAATGCCTTGTTTTATCTACCTTTAAGAATAGTAACTCTATTCCTATTTTAAAAGTATTACTATAGAAGTAATTTGTAACAATAAAGTTTAGTTTCAAGCACCATTCAATGGCAGCCCAGATACTTATATTCCTGTTCTAGAAGGCTAACAACTGTGTAGAGTAGGATAAATTTAAATAAAACACCCAATTCATACCATGTAGGTACTGGCATTTGTTCAATCATGGAAAAGACTTACCCAGCAGGTACATTGTTTCTTTTTCTATTTTTTGTTAAGTCCTAAATATTTATAAGCACCTAAATATTTATAGGTAATGTTTTACAATTCTTAGCTATTGCTTTTAAGGAAGACAAGCCACATCTATAATAAAAAAAACTTACAGAATGAAAAACTATATTCAGCTATTAATAATACATAAAAAACCTATGTACCAAACATTAAGTTGAAGAAATAAAATGATCAGAATGGACCTGATGTTATCTTTGAATATGATATTCCAATTACTATCTCATTTTTGAGTTCCTCCCCTCACCCCAGGAACTTTGCTTCTGTAATCAGTTTTGATAATGGATACTATTTTCTTATAGTTTTAAATTATATTTGCTTATACTTTAGAAGCAATGCTTCATTGAAAATATTCACATTTTACTTTCAATGCAGAAATAAATATCATATGCCTATTTCCCTGTACATGTTCTCATATTGAAGTGACTCTCTCTTAAGAACTGATTTAGTAGTTGAATCATTGTCTTGATTCACATAAAATCATTAGCAGTTGTAATCAATTTCATTTATTTATTTATTTATTTATTTATTTATTTATTTATTTATTTATTTATTGAGACAGGGTTTCTCTGTGTAGTCCTGGCTGTCCTGGAACTCACTCTGTAGACCAGGCTGGCCTCGAACTCAGAAATCTGCCTATCTCTGCCTCCCAAGTGCTTGGGATTAAAGGAGTGTGCCACCACTGCCTGGCTCAGTTTCCTCTTCAAACTAGGCAAAGTTATATTTCCTTCAAGACTAAGGAGTATCGTAATTCGGCATTCTAATTATTAATAAAAATGTTTCGGGTTTAGCACATTTGCACAACAAAGAAAAATAACGTGCCAGGTCTCTTTGTTCTTCTCCATTGCATATATTTGATGACCAATAAATTTGATTGAGTTGATCTTCTAAAGATTAGGTCTCTGTTGGTATAATAATATTTATTATTGGTGACTTAGGTTTTCTTTACCTTATCAACCTTATCCCAGAAAAATTTTCTTATTCCATCTTTTTTATTTTTGCGTACACGTAGGCAGCCAAAGGAAGGCAGAAGAAACATGTTTTCCTTGCTCACCAGAGATCTTGGCCATGACTAGCTTCATTCCAAGATGCCACGTTCCTGAAAAGGGCACACGGTCAGCCCTTTGGAGAGGGGGAATATTATTATGTCTATATTCTCAATATTTTCACTGATATTGATTAGTCATTTTATCTAAAATAACTGTAATAACTAGATAGTAACATAATGTGTGTCAGACTTCCCTTAATATGTACCGCTGACATTCGCTCACGTTATGCTCATTGCTAAACAATTTTTGAGCAGTTTCAGATTTTTGTATTGTATTGTATTGTATAGCATACCAATCTATGAGATATATAGTATTAACATAACTATGTATATTATTGTTTTTTTATAGGATGTTTTATTTAGATTTCCTATGTTGTCCCCTTACCCCATCCCCCACCCACCCAGGAACCCCCAATCCCCTCACACCTCCTCCTTCTTCTCTGTGGATGTAACCTCTATCTATCCCCCCACTCCCAACGCCCCACCCTCAAAATTCCCACCCCCTGGGGCATCCAGCCTTCATGCGGTCAAGGATCTCTTCTTCCACCTATGCCCAGCAGAGCCATCCACTCTTACATATTCAACTGAAGTGCTGGATCCCTCCCTAAGTGCTCCCAGGCTGGTGGTTTAGACCCTGGGAGCTGTGGTTGGTTGGTATTGTTGGTCTCCTCATGGTGCCTCAAACCCTTTCAGCTCTCCTTCAGTCTTCACTCTAACTCCTCTATTGAGAACCCCATGATCAGTTCAATGGCTAGTTGTGAGCATCTGCCTCTGAGTATGTGAGACTCTTGCAGACCCCTGAGGAGATATACATATCAGGCTCTTATCAGCATGCACTTCCTGACTTCCACTTCAGCCTCTACCTTTGGTGATTGCACTTGGGATAGATACTCAGGTGGAGTGGTCTTGAAACGGCCCCTCCTTCAGTTTCTGTCCCTTACTTTGTCTCCATATTTGCTCCCTTGAGTAATTTGTTGCTCCTTCTAAGAAGGACCGAATCACCCTCACTTGGTCTTCCTTCTTTATGGGCTTCATGTGGCCTATGAGTTGCATCTTGGCCATTTCAAGGTTCTGGGCTAATATTCAATAATCAGTGAGTGAATACCATGTGTGTTCTTTTGTGATTGGCTTACCTCACTCAGGATGATAATTTCTAGTTCCATCCATTTACCTAGGAACCTCTCGAATTCATTGTTTTTAATACCTGAGTAATACTCCATTGTGTAAATATACCACATTTTTTGAATCCATTCCTCAGTTGAAGGACATCTGGGTTCTTTCCAGCTCCTGGCTATTATAAACAAGGCTGCTATGAACATAGTTGAGCATATGTCCTTGTTATATGTTCGAGCATCTTCTGGGTATATGCCTAGGAGTGGTATAGCTGGATCCTCAGGTAATGCTATGTCCAATTTTCTGAGGAACCGCCAGACTGATTTCCAAAGTGGTTGCACCATCATGAAGTCCCACCCACAATGGAGGAGTGTTCCTCTTTCTCCACACCCTCGCCAGCATCTACTATCACCTGAGTTTTTAATCTTAGCCATTCTGACTGGTGTGAGATGGAATCTCAGGGTTGTTTTGATTTGCATTTCCCTGATGACTAAGGATACTGAACATTTCTTTTGGTGCTTCTCGGCCATTCGAGTTTCTTCCGTTGAAAATTCTTTGTTAAGCTCTATACCCCATTTTTTAATAGGGTAATTTGGTTGTCTGGAGTCTAATTTCTTGAGTTCTTTTTATATATTGGATATTAGCCCTCTATCAGATGAAGGATTGGTAAAGATCTTTTCCCAATTTGTTGGTTGTTGTTTTGTCCTATTGACAGTGTCCTTTGCCTTACAGAAACTTTGCAATTTTATGAAGTCCCATTTGTCAATTCTCGATCTTAGAGCATATGCCATTGGAGTTCTGTTCAGGAACTTTTCCCCTGTGCCCAAGTATTCGAGGGTCTTCCCCACCTTCTCTTCTATTAGTTTCATTATATCTGGTTTTATGTGGAGGTCCTTTATCCACTTAGACTTGAGCTTTGTACAAGGGGATAAGAATGGATCAATTTTCATTCTTCTACATGTTGTCCTCCAGTTGAACCAGCACCATTTGTTGAAAATGCTGTCCTTTTTCCACTGGACAGTTTTAGCTCCTTTGTCAAAGATCAAGTGACCATAGGAGTGTGGGTTCATTTCTGGGTCTTCAATTCTATTCCATTGATCTTCCTGCCTGTCTCTGTACCAATACCAGGTAGTTTTTATCACTATTGCTCTGTAGTACAGCTTGAGGTCAGGGATGGTGATTCCTCCCGAAGTTCTTTTATTGTGGAGAATAGTTTTCGCTATCCTGGGTTTTTTGTTATTCCATATGAATTTGAGAATTTCCTTTTCTAACTCTGTGAAGAATTGAGTTGGGATTTTAATGGGGATTGCATTGAATCTGTAGATTGCTTTTGGCAAGATGGCCATTTTTATTATATTAATCCTGCCAATCCATGAGCATGGGAGATCTTTCCATCTTCTGAGATCTTCTTCAATTTCTTTCTTCAGAGACTTGAAGTTCTTGTCATACAGGTCTTTCACTTGCTTGGTTAGATTCACACCAAGGTATTTTATATTATTTACAACTATTGTGAAAGGTGTCATATCCCTAATTTCTTTTTCAGTCTGTTTATCTTTCATGTAGAGGAAGGCTACTGATTTGTTTGAGTTGATTTTATAACCAGCCACTTTGCTGAAGTTGTTTATCAGGTTTAGGAGTTCTCTGGTGGAAGTTTGGGGGTCACTTAAGTATACTATCATATCATCTGCAAATAGCGATATTTTGACTTCTTCCTTTCCTATTTGTATCCCTTTGACTTTTTTTTGTTGTCTAATTGCTCTGGCTAGGACTTCCAGTACTATATTGAATAGGTAGGGGGAAAGTGGGCAGCCTTGTCTAGTCCCTGATCTTAGTGGGATTGCTTCAAGTTTCTCTCCATTTAGCTTGATGTTGGCTACTGGTTTGCTGTAAATTGCTTTTACTATGTTTAGGTAGGGGCCTTGAATTCCTGATCTTTCCAAGACTTTTATCATGAAGGGATGTTGAATTTTGTCAAATGCTTTCTCAGCATCTAGTGAGATGATCATGTGGTTTTTTTTTTAAGTTTGTTTATATAGTGGATTACATTGATGGATTTCCGAATATTGAACCATCCCTGCATTCCTGGGATAAAACCTACTTGATCATGATGGATGATTGTTTTGATGTGGTCTTGGATTCGGTTTGCTAGAATTTTATTGAGTATTTTTGCATCGATGTTCATAAGGGAGATTGGTCTGAAGTTCTCTTTCTTTGTCGGGTCCTTGTGGGGTTTGGGTATGAGTGTATGTAGCTTCATAGAACGAATGGGGTAGTGTTCCTTCTGTCTCTATTTTGTGGAATAGTTTGAAGAGAATTGGTATTAGGTCTTCCATGAAGGTCTGATAGAATTTAGCACTAAAACAATCTGGTCCTGGGCTTTTATTAGTGGGGAGACTTTTAATGACTGTTGCTATTTCCTGAGGAGTTATGGGACTATTTAGATGGTTTATCTGCTCATGGTTTAAGTTTGGTACCTGGTATCTGTCTAGGAAATTTTCCATTTCATCCAGGTTTTCCAGTTTTGTTGAGTATAGGCCTTTGTAGTAGGATCTGATGATTTTTTGAATTTCTTCCGTTTCTGTTGTTATGTTTCCCTTTTCAGTTCTGATTTTATTAATTTGGTTACTGTCTCTGTGCCCTCTGGTTAATCTGGCTAACGGTTTATCTATCTTGTTGATTTTCTCAAAGAACCAGCTCCTGGTTTTATTGATATTTTGTATTGTTCTTTCTGTTTCTATTTGGTTGATTTCAGCCCTGAGTTTGATTATTTCCTGCCTTTTACTCCTCCTGGGTGTAATTGCTTCTTTTTGTTCTAGAGCTTTTAGTTGTCCAGTCAAGTTTTTAGTGTGTGCTCTTTCCAGTTTCTTTTTGTAGGCACGTAGAGCTATGAGTTTTCCTCTTAGCACTGCCTTCATTGAGTTCCACAAGTTTTGGTATGATGTGTCCTCATTTTCATTGAATTCTAAAAAGTCGTTAATTTCTTTCTTTATTTCTTCCTTGACCAAGTCATCATTGAGTAGAGAGTTGTTCAGTTTCCATGTGCACATGGGTTTTCCATTGGTTTTGTCATTATTAAAGACCAGTCTTATTCCGTGGTGATCTGATAAGATGCAAGGGATTATTTCAATCTTTTTGTATCTGTAGAGGCTTGTTTTGTGACCAATTATATGGTCTATTTTGGAGAAGGTACCATGAGGTGCTGAGAAAAAGGTATATTCTTTTGTTTTAGGATGAAATGTTCTATAGATGTCTGTTAAGTCCATTTGGTTCATAACTTCTGTTAATGTCAAAGTGTCTCGGTTTAGTTTCTGTTTCCATGTCCTGTCCATTGCTGAGAGTGGGTTGTTGAAATCCCCCACTATTATTGTGTGAGGTGCAATGTGTGTTTTGAGCTTTAGTAAGTTTCTTTTATGTATGTAGGTGCCCTTGCATTTGGAGCATAGATGTTCAGAATTTAGAGTTCACCTTGGTAGATTTTTCCTTTGATGAGTATGAAGTGTCCTTCCTTATCTTTTTTTGATTAATTTTGGATGAAAGTCGATTTTATTTGATATTAGAATGGCTACTCCAGCTTGTTTCCTGGGACCATTGGCTTGGAAAATTGTTTTCCACCCTTTTATTCTGAGGTAGTGTCTGTCTTTGTCACTGAGGTGCGTTTCTTGTATGCAGCAAAATTCTGGGTCTTGTTTCTGTATCCAGTCTGATAGTCTGTGTCTTTTTATTGGGGAATTGAGACCATTGATGTTAAGAGATATTAAGGAAAAATGATAGTGGCTTCCTGTTATTTTTGTTATTAGAGGTAAAGTTATGTTTGTATAGTTATCTTCTTTTGGGGTTGTTGGAAGATTTCTTCCTTGCTTTTTCTAGGTTGTAGTTTCCCTCCTTGTGTTGGCGTTTTCCATCAATTATCCTTTGAAGTGCTGGGTTTGTGGGAAGATATTGTGCAAATTTGGTTTTGTCATGGAATATCTTGGTTT